TTGCTAAACCAATTGAGGACGCAATGGCAGCCCGACAAATAAGTTTTCTTTGTTAATTCCAATTGAACAACTGAACTTCTTATTTTACAATTATTTATCATAAATTAATAATAATAATAAAAAAAATATTTTTATGATAGGGACAAAAAAGTTGTCTTTCACTAGCATATATGACTTCACTTATCTTATTATATGAGAATGAGAATGAGTAATACAAGGTAATTTTATAGTAGGAAAATGATAAAGTTACCGAAAAGTTTACATCGGATTTGTGCATTGAATGATATGGCAAAATCCTAATCATTGATTAATATTAACTGATAATAAATCAACGATTATGATTTTGCTACGTCATTTGGTGCACAAATTCAGTGTACACCCATCGGTAACTGTAGCATTACTTTTTATAGTATAATATTATATATATTATAAATGATATTTGAATATTAAAAAAAAAAAAAAAAACATTTAACAATATTCAATATATTACCCATCCATGGAAAACATAGATGGTTAAAATAAATTGGAGATAGTGTAGATAGACGCATGGTCTCATGCTTAATTCTCTATATGAGCATCCACGATTTAAGTGGAGGTTTTGGCTGTGTCACTGTGTGTTATTATGCTAATCTCTTCCGAAGATTAGTTCAGGTGCACGTAAGTTGACTCAAACACCTTGGTTATTAAAAAAAAAAAAAAAAAAAAAAAATCAATATGTTATTCAAATCAAGAACATATTGATTTGAATAACTAATATATAAAAATTTTGTGAAATAACAAAAACACCCCCACCCACCCACAGTGCCAGATTCTGGCCACCACCAACGAAATCTGGTCGAAATCCAGCGTTACGACGTAGACTGGTCGGATCTGGCTGGTCATGCGTCAATTTGGCCTTTTCCGGCCAAATCCACCATGGATCTGGCCATCGATGGCCACAAAAGGTCAGATCTAGCCGTCAGCAACAACCATTTCTTTGGTCGTCGCTGATAGCCAGATTGACGAATTACTAGCCAATTCCGGTCATTTGTACGCCGTTGTGATAGATTCCGGCTACCACCAACGGTGGTTGTTAGAATCTGGCAACTATGGATGGGTGGGGGTGTTTTTGTTAATTTTTAAACTTTTTTCTGAGGGTGTTTAATTAAATTAATTAATTTAAGGGGTCTAAAAGTAATTAAATAAAATATAATAATATTTTCTAAATAATGAAACAAACAGTTATTTTGAGAATAGGGTATGAAATAATAAACCAAACGGGCCCATAATATGTAGGAAACGGGAATTCGATTAATCCTCGTGAGAATATGTTTCTTAAATATAATGCACCAAAATTAGGGTTTCAAATCAATGAATAATTGTGTCTTAGGAAATAAAATACCATCAATTCTAAGGTTCTTGTTTGGACATCGAGTTTTGAGTGTTTCACACTCTGGCAAAGTTTGACATATTCCTCTATTATTTATATAATATTTGGATTAAGAATTGCTATATTTATCAAAATTTATATACCAAAACAGTTGACTTATAAGATTTTACTAAGATTTGAACGAAACCTTATGATTTCTCACAAAAAATTGATATGCTGTCACTTGTCACATTTTATTTGAATACAAATTTAGACACACATCATATTGAAAGTAACAAGCAAAGATGGAGCATNTTAAAAAAAAAAAAAACATTTAACAATATTCAATATATTACCTATCAATGGAAAACCCAGATGGTTAAAATAAATTGGAGATAGTGTGAATAGACGCATGGTCTCATGTTTAATTCTCTATATGAGCATCCACGATTTAAGTGGAGGTTTTGGCTATGTCACTATGTGTTATTACACTAATCTCTTCCGAATATTAGTTCATGTGCACATAAGTTGACTCAAACACCTTGGTTATCAAAAAAAAAATAATAATAATAATAATAATAATAAATTCAATATGTTATTCAAATCAAGAACATTATAGTAGCGTATATTATTATTTTTGTTAGAGTTATGAACTAGTGTTTGATAATTATGTTTGGAATTAGAATTTTTTGAATACTATAATATGTAGTAAGTAAAATTAGTTGAGGTGCGCACAACCTTGTTAAAAAAAGAAAAAAAAATTAATATATTATTCAAATCAGGAACATTATAATAGCCTATGATATCATTTTTGTTACTGTTATGAACTAGGTCCGTTTGGTTTGTTATTTTGGAAATAGTGTTGGATAGTTGAGTGGAGTAATTATTACGAGGTAAAATTTAGAAATTGACAACAAAACCCCATGGGTTTGCTAATTTTACTAAACACCCTAATATATAAAAATTGTGTGAAATGACAAAAACACCCCCACCCACCCACAGTGCCAAATTCTGGCCACCACTGTCGGAATCTGGTCGAAATCTAGCGTTACGATGCAGACCGGTCGGATCTGGCTGGTCGTGCGTCGATCTGGTCTTTTCCGATCAAATCCACCATGGATCTGGCCATCGATATCCGCAAAAGGCTACATCTGACTGTCAGCGACAACTATTTCTTTGGTCGTCGTTGATGGCCAGATTGGCGAATTACTAGCCAATTCCGGTCATTTGTACGCCGTTGTGACAGATTCCGACTACCACCAACAGTGGTTGCCGGAATCTAGCAACTATGGGTGGGTGAGGGTGTTTTGTTAATTTTTAAATTTTTTTTTGGGGGGGCGTTTAATTAAATTAATTAATTTAAAGAGTCTAAAAGTAATTGAATAAAATATAATAGTATTTCATAAATAATGAAACAAACAATTATTTTGAGAATAAGGTATGAAATAATAAACCAAACGGGCCCATAATATGTGGGAAACGGAAATTCGATTAATCCTCGTGAGAATATGTTTCTAAAATATAATGCACCAAAATTAGGATTTCAAATCAATGAATAATTGTGTCTTAGGAAATAAAATACCATCAATTCTAAGGTTCTTGTTTGGACATCGAGTTTTGAGTGTTTCACACTCTGGCAAGGTTTGACATATTCCTCTATTATTTATATAATATTTGGATTAAGAATTGCTATATTTATCAAAATTTATATACCAAACAGTTGACTTATAAGATTTTACTAAGATTTGAACGAAACCTTATGATTTCTCACAAAAAATTGATATGCTGTCACTTGTCACATTTAATTGGTATACAAATTTAGACACACATCATATTGAAAGTAACAAGCAAAGATGGAGCATTTTTTTTTTATTTAATTTTTAAATTTATTTAAAAATGTCTTCATGGGGTAGGTATGGTGGAAGAATGAATGAAGTAACTCTTTCTTCTTTCCTTAAATGAAAAAAAAAAAAAAACCCACCAGCATTATCCAAATGCACCCAATGATGCTGATTGAGAACCTTGAAATTGGGAATAAGGTGAACGAAGGTAAGATGTAATTGTGGGTTGAATAGAGCTAACACAATCCCAGAAGACAAATAAGTTTTAACTAACTAATTAAGAGAGAGAGAGAGAGAGAAAAACCTATAAGAAAACTCTATAAATAGTGGTATCCTCTTTATTGTTGGCCACAGACCGTAAGGCTTACTCTGTTTTAGAAGCTTTATTCGAGGTCGAGAGACCAGTCGAGGTATATATAAGCTAGCATAAGAAATCGTCCATTATCGTCAGTGTTTGCATTTATGTCATCTAATTAACATGGTATCAAAGTCCCACATCGGCTAAGAGATAAGGTTCTTGGTTGCTTATATAGCACAAGGACAATCTCATCACCCAGATGTGCATTTTCAGAATAAAATCATGCAATCAATGTCCAAAGCGAACAATACCTCTAAGAATCCATCTACCATGTGTTTGGATCCAACGTTCATAATTGGCCCTAGAAGGACCCCCTCGTCCCCTAGTGGTTGTGATTCAAGAGATAAATTAATTATTGGTCGAGAAAATTATAACAAAGTATAGAGTCAAACAACTTATTTTTTCTCCGCAAAATCTTATATAACCCGAAAAATATGAGTAAAAGCAAAGAATAGAAAGACAAATAAATATATTGGTGGTGGGTTCAACATAAAAATTTGATTGTTTTTATTTTGATTGGCATATTGCAACCCTTCAAGTTATTCCTGGTGGTGGTCCAAGAGTGTGGACCGTGTGGTGTAGGATTTAGCCACGATTTGGGATGAGGAGGTGAAGTGAAGTGAAGAAAGTAAAGGAATTGCACGTAAGTTAAGTAAAAGCTATAAGCATAAATTAGCTGTCATTTCCACTTTGTGTGTGCCATATGATAATCCAAGTGGCTCACGTGCTTCCCTTTCCTCACCTGCCTTCATTTTGCATGTGGCGTGGGTGCCACAATTTCAGATCTTTTTCTTCTAAAGTTGTAAGTAAAGAAGCCCTCTAGCTTAGTCCTCTCTGCCTGGCTGGCTCCATCTCTTTTAAAAACATATGCTCTTTGCATGGGCTCATCTAGAGCTTAGCAAAAAGCCCGGTCGTTGGGAGGACCGGTTCAGAGACCGAACCTGGCCCTAAGGAGGATGATTGGTCCTAGGCCTGGGCTTGATTAATTTCAAAAACCCCCTAACCTAACCAAAACCATTGACAAATAATCAAAATCCCCCTATAATATAAAATACATAATAAATTTAGGAGTTAAAAATAGTTTTACAATTAGGGGGTTAAATAAAATTTTCTAGGCCTATAGACCGGTCCTAAACAATCCAAACCCGAGCCTGGGACCGGTTCGAAATCTCACAAAAGTGACAAACTCAAGATCGATCCCTAGGACTATTGGGCCCAACTTTTGCCCACCTCTTGGGCCCACTCATCACATGTCTCTGTCACTTATTTATTTAATTTTTCTCTCCTTTTTTTGAACATAAAATCTTGGAATTGAAATGAAACCATGAAATTTTGAGTTGGGCCAACTAGTTTGTACCAAATGGCCCAAATGCTATCAGTTCTAAAAACGATGTCGTATCATAAATGGCTTACACGTCGGTCTCTTACTTCAATAGCCTTATCCATCCGGAGCCAAAAGTACAGTTTACTTAAACCATGCCCGTCTCAGCCCACCAGCTTACGTTCTCTGCTCCGATTCTCGGCTCGCAATTACCTGAACATGGTACTTCTCTGCTCTCTCTTTTATGTGAAATCGTGTGAATTCAACGCTATGTTTGTCTCTCTGCTTGTGAGTTTGAGGACATAACGGAAATGATCTTAATCTGTGTCACTTCAGGGCATTGCAAGTCAAGGAAGCTACTTCCGGAAACTGGGCTGTTCAGAGCTCTAAACAAGAAGAAACCAAGAAGAAACATGGCTTTGATGAGTAGTTGTAAAGATGATGATGGTGATGGACAAGTGAGTTTTCGAGTGGGTGAAGGTGAACGGCTTTATCTTGGAATGGACTTTGGTACTTCTGGAGCGAGGTTTGCTCTTATTGATAAACATGGGACAATTTGTTCTGAAGGAAAGAGAGAGTATCCAAAATATATGGTAAAATTTAACTCTAAACTTATCTCTGTTTTTTTGGAGTTCGAATATTGTGCTTATCTAACTTCCAAGTTTGATCAAATTGATTTTTTGTAATTGGGTTTGTTCAGATTGTCTATTATTACTTGCAAAACTAATGTGAAAGTTAACAAGCTTGTTTGAATTCCATAGAAGTGATCTTGTTTTAAGAGAGCAAAATGGTCTTGCTGATTGGTTGCCAGTTTACGTATTTATCCGGATAAGATAATTAAATGTACTATTGCATGTTCTCATGATTAGAGGATGAGATAAGAGGGTTTTGTAGACAGGTATAACAGAGTTATACTAGCTATTCTTGCCTCTTTTGGACTTTGGTAAAATAATTTTTTTGATTGAGCTCGCTTTCTTTATGCCCAGTGGTGCATTTTGATTTGTAGAGAATAAATATAGATCAAGGAGATGATGTTAGATGTGTTATTGCAGTGAATTACATTGCCCAGCAAAATTCAAACTGTTGTTAATTTCTATTGTCTAGAAAGAATGAAGAAACAATGGATTGGATTCGCTCTTGGAAGACAACACTTTTCTCGTTGCTTGGAGATGTTCCTATTGATCTCCGCCCATTTATATCTTCCATTTCCATTGATGGCACTTCTGCAACTACCATCATTCTAGACAGGTGGGAACCTCCGTGATTTATCGCTAATTCTAGTATTGTGTCTCTTGGCATGTCAAAATGGCTTTGATGTTATATGTGTCTGATTTTTTCTTAATTTCTACAGCAATACAGGTGAACCTTTATGGAGACCTTTCCTTTACAATGAGAGTTGCCCTGATGCTTTACCATTTGTAAAGGCTATTGCTCCTGCAAACCACACAGTGTGCTCTGGCACCTCTACCCTGTGCAAGCTTGTCTCCTGGTGGAACAATGAGGGTGCAAGTAAAAAATCGGCAGTGTTGTTACATCAAGCAGATTGGTTGTTGTGGTTTCTTCATGGAAAGCTTGGAGTGTCTGATTACAATAATGCTCTGAAGGTACTTCGAGTTCTTCTTAGCATTTGTGATCTTTACAGCTGGTTACCATAAAATATTTCATCCTAATGACCCCATTATAAGTCATAGGTTGGTTACGATCCTGAACTTGAGTCATATCCACCTTGGCTGCTGTCGCAGCCTTATTCACAACTCTTACCTTCTGTCAAAGCTCCAGGAACCGTTATTGGCTTGCTAAAAGAGGCCATCAGAACCGAATTTGGTATGTTTTCCTTCCATCTAAGTTCCCCTGGAGTTTGTTAGAAGAGGAAGTTACCTTCATCATGTTGAGGAAATAAATGGAAAATAGATGAAAATAACTATTCTTAAAGTTGAACTTCATTAAATTAATGAATTTTAACTTACTTTGTATATATAGAACCTAGTTGGATTGGTGTTAGACTCTTACTTAGCATCTGTGGACTTACAAGAACTTAAGAAGTATGAGATTGACACAGATATTGGAAAAGGCAAATTCATGGTTCACAAAGGTTACTGATTTTTAAAGATTAAGCTGTAGTGCTTATATAAAATCTGATATAATGTGAAATTGTAAGCTTGCAACTGAGTAATATCATGATGTTTTTTTTTTTTTTTTTCAAATCTTTTTCTTTCTCTTTTAATAGTTAGGACTAATAATTGTGCTACAGACTTCCATAAATTTCTGTGATCATGTTGTTGCACCTCGAATATCTTCCAACCTAGAAGCCTCAACTGTTCTAAAACCATGTTAAAAGCATGTGTATCCTTGCAGGTTTTCCAAAAGATTGCGCTGTATGCACTGGAACCACTGATAGCATAGCCGCCTTTCTTGCAGCAAGAGCAACAGAACCTGGGAAAGCTGTGAGAATTCTGCTGGACTTATTTTTCTTTTTCTTTTTTTTTCATTGGTGCTGCCAATTGCCAAAATACTGTGAACCTTACTGCCATGGACATCCATATCGAATTGCTATTGTATAGTCTGTTCATATGCAACATAAGTTCTCATGACAATTTATTGCTTTCCATTTTACATTACATGATTATGTTCATAATGTTCTGTTCTGTGTTCAGGTCATCTCTCTGGGTTCAACTCTGGCTATTAAACTACTAAGCACTAGTCGCATTGAGGATGCACGATTTGGGGTTTATAGTCATCGCCTTGATGATAAGTGGCTTGTTGGAGGTGCTTCAAATACCGGTGGGGCTGTTCTTAGACAAATTTTTACTGATGAACAGTTGCAGAAATTAAGCGAACACATTAATCCCATGGAAGCCTCCCCTCTTGACTACTATCCTCTGAAAGCAGCTGGTGAGAGATTCCCTGTTGCTGATCCGAAGATGCTTCCCCGGTATGTATATATATATATATATATATATATTCTTATTCGTTCCCTTATCTTCATGTCACAATTTTGATCCCAAACTTGAATTCCTCGGATGGTTTGTTCTTGTATTGTATCAGGTTAAATCCTCGCCCGCAAAGCGATGTTGAATACTTGCATGGTATTTTGGAGTCCATGGCACGTATAGAGGTGCATTGATGATTCTCATAATTCAGTAATGCTCGTTCATTTATATAATCCATCTTTATTGCAGACCGTCTTAAAATTTATAATAAACCCAGTAAAATTTATATATAGGCAAAGGCTTATAGCTTATTAAAAGAGCTTGGCGCAACCCAAGTGGAAGAAGTGTTCACCGCCGGCGGTGGTGCGAAAAATGAGAAATGGACCAAGATACGAGAGAGAGTTCTTGGCTTGCCGGTGAGACGGGCAACTCAAACAGAAGCTGCATACGGAGCTGCTCTATTGGCATTGAAGGCAAAGCAATCTAATATTTGAGTTGATACAAATTAAATAATATCATTACTGGAAGTAAAAGATTGGGATACAGCTATATGATGGTGTAAATAATATTTTAATGCGGCGCATTTAATGGCTGTATAATCATGATTTTATGCACCGTCGATGACGTTAAACTTTACGATTACGGCAGCTATTGATGTGTCAAATTAGGTAACGAGCTGATGTCCTCGTGCTTTGTGACCTCACGGCACCCGCATTTTGGAAGTCTGTGCCAGTTAGACGGCTTCTCTAATGATTAGCAATTGTACATCTGACGGACTCGGGAATCGGAGAACCAGATACTCATCCTTTATAAACCAATGGGTTTAATGCAGTTTCGCCTCTCAAGCTTGTTACACCGTTTTACCCCAATCTTTTTTTCGGGTCGGTGGCAAGGAGTTAAAGGCTTGGTTTATGTATATCTTAACTAATTTTTTTTTGTTTTTAAAGTTAAAGATAGAAATGGGTAAAAAATTCAGTCCCAAGGTTTGATCTCATGACCCTACCTTAAACCAGTTTGGGCTTTGGGGAGGGGTGATCGGGGCCTAGGTCAGGCTCCAACTTGACTATACTAAATTATCAAGCTTGCATAGGATTGATCTTATATAAGCCAAGTTCGAGCCTAGGATTGGTCTAAGCTCTTACAAAAGTGACAACTCAGGATCGGTTCCAACCAATTTGGGGACTGGGTACAAATTAGGACTGATTTTTAAGGGCTTGGATTATGTTTGTCCACCTCTAATTAAAAATTAGATAAATATTTCTGTTAGGGTTAAAAATCATTTTGAGCTTGACGATACCTAATAACGAAATAAATATGTCACATCTTAAGGCCTAAACCTAATCCTGATTGGACTTGCGCTTAAAATCATCTTGCGAACTACCCGCTTTATGAGTTGGACTATCCTATAAGTTAAGTTAAACTGAGTTTTAGCTCATTAGCCTGCAATAGTCTATAAATAGGAAATCAGAATCCTATTCTACTTCCTCTTCTACTAAGATTTCAAATCTTACTCAAATTATTAGACTTAATATGATAAGATCAAGAAATCATATCTTTTTCATGATAGGGATTATCTCCCAAAATAAGACTTAGTATCCTACTAAGATTCCAAATCTTAGTTAAACTATTAAACTTAATCTGATAAGGCCAGTAAACTATATTTCTTTCTTGATAGGGATTATCTCCCAAAAAAGAGGATTCAATGTCCTATTAGGATTCTAGCCCCTTGGGCTCACTATAAAAATATAGGTTTGCCCTCTCATTAGGCATGCAACTCCCATAGTTAATCTACACTACTCAAAACCATATATTTGCTCCTAGAGTTCTTTCTCCCAAGAACCCGGTGCCTCTGCCGTAATCTTAGCTTCCGACAAGACTCTTGGTAATTCTTCATCTCCTTAATTCTTATCAAATAATCTCTTTCAGTCTTGCTGACTTGAGCGTCAGAGTGCCTACGACAAACACCACCCTGATATTTTCCGGAAGCTTCACGCTTGCCTTTTCATGTGTGCAGGTCTAACGGATTGTCAGTGGCCTCAACCTCACGGGATCAGACCCTATTTTCATGACGGTAGATTTTTTGCATCTACAGTTTGGCGCCCACCGTGAGCCCTTAACAATCATTTACAACATGAGAGGTGACACGAAACTCTTTTTGACTGATAATGTTAATCAGAAAATCCCATCAAGATAAGAATTTTTTTCTTTATTTTTTTTCTTTTGTTTTATCTATTCACAAGCCATATTAATTATATCTGTTCGGCATATCGTAATTTATTTTATATTATATCCATTCAGCAAGTAGTATAAGACCTTGAAGCTCATATTATTGTTCTAAATTAATAATAGCTTCATATTATTGTTCTAACTTAATAATAGAATAATAATGTGTCAGAGTTTTAAGTGGTGTTCCTAAACCACTTGATTCATTGACTTTGCTTCAACAATCTCTCTTCTCTAATCCTCTGTTCAGATAAGGCAATAGCTTCTGTCTCTAACCTCTCTATGCACGCCTTTTCACTTCAATCATCAAACCACTAGGTCAGCCACCGTCATCAGAGCTTTGCAATGCATTACCCGCCACAAAACCAGTCAATTTGTTCATTCAAGAAGATGCCGCGATATGCCAGCATCTCTAGGACCTCCTTTCCATTAGAAGGTAACTCAAACTCGACCAATCTTGATCCAATCCCAATTCAACTTCACGGAGATTTGCCACCACTTTGAAACCCAAAACCCGTCCACCTGTTCTCCTAAAATCGCCCTAACAGCTTCTCCAATCACACAGTTAAATCCTAAAAACAAAGTATTAATCCTCTCAAAACACCTAAAGTCATCTACTAAACACGAAGAGAAACCCCTCAAACAAAACCTGCTTAAGTGACGCCACCTTACTCTCGCCTAATCTCTTTACCCCACCGTATTCCAAAACTCCAAACTCGAACCAGCGCCCCTTCCCAACCAATACATATCAACTCAAACCACCTTCACATCACAAGCTCCAACACACTTGTCACAAAAGCCCTCACGCTCCCCACTGTTTGCAAACTTTCAACTCCCCACTACAATTCAGCACCACTAAACAACACGAGTAGTCCACTCAATAATATTTGAGTCTGCACATACAATATCAACGTGCCCATTCGATTCAGCCCAAAAGTGAATCACGTGCCCACTCAACTTCAACTGGTTCAGCTCCGACATAGAAAGTAACACCTCTCTCTCCACTGGGTCTAGCAAGCATGGGTGGTAGCACTTGAAGGGGAAAATGTATGTGTCATTATCTCCTTTTAACTACCACTCTATTTGGTTAAATCTTTCTCTATTCGGCTCATTACTTAAATACATGCAACCCATTTTTCCATTTAGCTCACTCTTTATTCAGTCCATAACACATGCACATCATGCATATTGACTCTCTATTTGGCTCTTTGCTTAAAACATGCATGTCACTGCTCCAACTTCAATCAAATGTTTTCAACTACAAAGTCCGTCACGTCGACTGGGCCACATAGCCCTCAAAGGTTTCAACTACAAGTCAACCACGCCGACTCGACTGCAAGCTCCATACAAGCTCCACTTGGCATACACCTTCGAATTGGCTCAGCTCGATCCACGGATTTACACCTTCGGATTGACCTAACTCGATCCACAGATTTACACCTTCGGATTGACCCTGCTCGATCCACGGATCTTTACACCTTCAGATGGACCCTGTTCGATCCACGGATTTACACCTTCGGATCGACCTTGTTGGATCCACATATTTTTACACCTTCGGATCGACCCTGCTCAATCCATGGATTTGCACATTCGGATCGACCCTGCTCGATCCACGGATTTACACATTCGGATCGACCCTGCTCGATCCACAAATTTTTACACCTTCGGATCGACCCTGCTCGATCCACGGATTTACACCTTCGAATCGACCCTACTCGATCCACGGATTTATACCTTCGGATCGATCCTATTCGATCCACAGATTTTTATACCTTCGGATCGACCCTGCTCGATCCATGGATTTTTACACATTCGGATCGACCCTGCTCGATCCACGGATTTACACATTCATATCGACCCTGGTCGATCCACGAATTTACACCTTCGGATTGGCCCTGCCCGATTCACAGATTTACACCTTTGATCGGCCTTGCCCGATTCATGAATTTACACATTCAATCGGCCCAGGCCGATTGAAGGACTTGCACCTCAAATTGACAAGTTATAGACCCAATCCACACAACTATCCATCCGACCTAACGAGCTGCTATCACTAATCCACTCAGTTTGCACTTATTCGATTAAATCTACTTTCTAAGCTAAATATTCTTTAACTTAGAGAGTGGGGGGCTAACTGTTAGGGTCAAAAATCATATTGGGCTTGACGAGACCTAATAACGAAATAAACATGTCACATCCTAAGGCCTCAACCCAATCCTGATTGGGTCTATGCTTAAAATCACCTTGCGAACTACCCACTCTATGAGTTGGGCTATCCTATAAGTTAAGCTAAATTGGGTTTTAGCCAATTAGCCTGCAATAGTCTATAAATAGGAAATCAGAATCCTATTCTACTTCCTCTTCCACTAAGATTCCAAATCTTACTCAAACTATCAGACTTAATCTGATAAGATTAAGAAATCATATCTCTTTCATGATAGGGATTATCTCCTAAAATAAGACTTAATGTCCTACTAAGATTCCAAATTTTATTTAAACTATTAAACTTAATCTGATAAGGCCAAGAAACCATATTTCTTTCTTGATAGGGATTATCTCCCAAAAAAGAGGATTCAATGTCCTACTAGGATTCTAGCCCCTTGGGTTCACTATAAAAACATAGGTTTGCCCTCTCACTAGGCATGCAATCTCCCATAGTCAATCTACACTACTCAAAATCATATATTTGCTCCTAAAGTTCTTTCTCCCAAGAACCCGACGCCTCTGCCGTAATCCTAGCTTCCGACAAGACTCTTGGTAATTCTTCATTTCCCTAATTCTTATCAAATAATCTCTTTCAGCCTTGCTGACTTGAGCATCGGAGTACCTATGGCAAACACCACCCTGGTGTTTTCTGGAAGCTTCACACTTACTCTTTTATGTGTATAGGTCTAACAGATTGTCAATGACCTCAATCTTACGGGATCAGATCCTATTTTTATAACGATAAATTGTTTGCATTTACACTTTTAATAGTCATCTTTGTTAACAAGGGAGAGGAATTAACTAAAAGAGAATTAAATTCAAGAGCTCCTGAGTAATACAGTTAAGAGTTTTCATCGTCTTACATGATGTCCGATGCCCGGGATGGTCTTTTTACCCCGACTTTGGTAGCTGAAAGTGTCGGTTGACCAAAACCATCTGCCATTTCTCCTGAAAGTGAAAATAATCAGATGTTTATCAAAACCATTAATCGTGAAAAAATAGCTTACAGGCCATTAACAGATACTAGATCATGATTATTAAATCTCCTTTATTAGTTTTTCAGTTTAGCCTTGTCAGTTGTCACTTTGTCTCTTCGCGGTCGCACTGCACCTCTGCCTCTGAGTGAGCATGGCTTTTCTCTCTCTCCTTCTCTTCTGTACATATATATATACATACACGGTAGATAACTTGGGTATCTCTCATGCATGGTCTCCATAGATAAGCTTTAGCTTTAGTTTTACTCTTCTTAATGGCCGGCGTTAGGTTAAAAAGAACCTTAAATGCAGAAGCTCCAGAGTTTTTCCCCAGTAGCCGAAACAGTAGCCAAGTCGATGAAATTTCCTATTTTACCTCATATCTTCAAACTTCCCCCAGTTTCTCCACTCGAAACCCTTACTTTCCCTACTGTAACTCAGAATGGCCGCTGACGTCATATACAACTACCTATCTTTCTGGAAACATGACGCAGTTTGATGATTTTTTGCATGCGCCTGCGGGCGTAGCTACATCAACAGAACCAGTTCCTTTCTGGGTGAGTATGCCGGATGAGCAAACCTATTTGACCGGTGATGAAGCAGTGGAGGAGCCACAACTTTTGGTTCAAAACGGTACTTACCGAAGAAAAGCTAAAAGAGGGCCGAGCAGGAATAGGTTTCTTTTGAGACCAGGGTTTAGAGGACCTCATGATAGTCAAACTGATAGGCAGGAATGGAGGCGTAAAAGCAGGAATGGCGAGAATGGCGGGTACAGTCGTTATGATCATGGTGAAATTTTTTCCAGGGATCCGAGAAATGTAAATTACAGGGCTGCGCCGCCCAAGATGAAACATGCTGTGCTTCCTCTTGAAAATGATGGTCTAAATACTACTGTGATGATCAGAAATATTCCCAATAAATTTACGTATGATCGTTCTCCATGTGGGCTTTTTCCTTTTCTCTCCCTTTCTTAGTCACTGATCCATACAGTTTGCCAAGTTTGTCTTACGCTTTGGCTTTTTTCTTCAGTCGTGAAATGTTGATGAACTTCCTTGACGATCATTGCGTGGTGGAGAACGAAAAGGCTATGGTCCAGAATTCAGTTGCAGCAGAGGAAGAATCAGCCATCGTGTCAGCGTTTGATTTCTTGTATTTGCCAATAGACTTCCAGTATGTGTTCTTCCCAAGTCAAGATGGTTCTATCTTAATAAATTTCAATGCCAGAAACTTGTTCATTTACAGTTAATAAGTTCCATTTATTAATGCAAGCATGATGAGTTACATTTACTGCCTGTGTAATGCGTGCAGAAATCGCGTTAACAAAGGCTATGCCTTTGTGAATTTTACCCATCCAAGAGCTGCGTGGAAGTTTTATCTTGCATCTCACAATCAACCTTGGGGAGCTTTCAAGTCAAACAAGATACGCGAGATTTCCTGCGCAAGACTCCAGGTATAGACCACAGTATTCTTTTGACAACTTTATATGTCAATGTCATAT